CAAGTGCTTGCCAGGCATACTGGACACCAACGTAACCATCGTACACGGCGAAAAAGGCCATGCGCAGATCACCCTGTAGAGAGAAATCCCGATTGCTTTTGTTGTCTCCGCCGTTCCTTTACAGAGGCTTTGTGTGCTGCAGCTATATGAAGAAATTCGTAAGAAAATCTAGATAAAAATTCACGGATAAGCTTATCAGAGCCAATAATCAGATTGATCAAACCGTACGTACGTACGATTATAGAAAAAAAGAACGTTTCACTTCCTTGACTAGATTCAAGGCCGACTTAGTAAATAAACAGCTGTCAGAATCATCCTTACAGAAGCACTGTTGCCAGATATACCAGATCAATTTGTACTTGACCACTCATACACTTCAAATACATAAAGGCACAAATCAGGGCACAAATATACTCGTTCGGCACGGTACCAGCACAATGCGGCACACTGTAAACAGCGTTAATACAAAAACAGGTGTGCCGAGTGACTGACCCCTTGATTCATACTATGATTGCAAAAAGACAAATCACTTCTGGGCAGGGTAGCTCATCTATAACAGTAAAGGCAACGAAAGGTTGTCCTCAAGAAGGAGTCCTCTCACCACTAATGTGGTCTTTAGTTGTAGATGATCTTCTGAAAAGCCTAGAGGCGAAAGGTTTCGAAGTTGTGGGCTTTGTGGATGATATAGAATGCAACAGGCTGTAAAGCTTACACCAATGTTGGTGTATAAACGAAAGCCTAAAAATTAAAAGTAGTAATCGTTCCTTTAACTAGAAAGAGGAAGTTCGAGCTTCGAGGAGAACAGATGCATCTTAATTAACAGGTCAAATACCTTGGAGTTATATTGGATGCCAAGTTGAATTGAAATGCTCAGATTGATTATGTGATCAACAAAGCAACCAGTGCCCTGTGGTTGTGCTCCAAAACTGTAGGTAGAAAATGGGGTTTTGAAACCAAAAATGACAATATGGATTTACACATTAGTAATCCGTCCAAAAGTAAAGGCCCAAACGCAATGTGGGCGGAAGCGGAACGGAAACGGAAAGTTTGACAGTTGTCACAAATGACATCAAGATGCCTAACCGAAGTCGATTTGGTTCTAACTAGTTTTCAATCCGACAAGTAGGCTTACTCAGATCGGGCTTTTCCGCTGCCGCTGCCGTTCCGCTTCCGCTGTCATTGCGCTTGGGCCTTAACTAATGCTTCGTTAGTGTGGTGGCCAAAAACGAAAGAGGCTACCTCATAGAGGAAGCAACGTCTAGCATGTATTGTTATAACAGGTGCGATGCGCAGTACCCCATCAAAAGCGTTAGATGCAATCCTCAAGGCCGGCGCACAATGCATACGTTTTCGGGTATTTTGACAGATAATGCATGGGCTAACTGTCAAAAAACCTGAAAACGTATCCATTGTGCGCCGGTCTTCAATCTACTGCCCTTGCATGAAATCGTGCAACTAGAAGCGAAAAAAGTGCTCTAAGGCTCAAAAGGTCTAAAAAAAAGTCATGCCAGGTGATCAGGTTGATTACCTAAGCATTTTACAATAATTCCAAAGAGGATCAGTGATGAGTATTAATGGAGACTGGATGAAACCAGAGGACTATGACACTCCCTTGAACGTATGTGAAACGTTGCATTCGGATTGAGAAGTCGGTGGTCAAGGCTCAATCAAATGTTCATCAAAGATTATCTGTGAATGTAGTCGCATGTTGCGACAGACGATCTCGCAAAATTAGGTTTCAATTCACAGTTTATTGGCCCATAACAATACTGTGGAATATCTAACGGTACGGTAAAAAAGAAATTCAAACGCTCGGAAGAACAAAGGGTGATGGCCAACTGGATGGCCGTCACAAAGTACAACCAGTCGAAAAGATGTATAACTACAAATGTAACACATGCCAAAAAGCTCTTGGAGCTCAATAAACGAGCTCTTAGTATATACACTAGCCTAGTCCGAGTAGACATGATTTGAAGAACATTGGTAGAGTTCAGAGCGATATCTGCCGTTTCTGTAGCATAGAACGTGAAACCTCGGAACATCTGCTCTGCAGCTGCGGTGCATTACACAGGCATAGATCTATATTTCTTGGTAGTGTTATATTACAATCTAGTGGAATTTGGTCTGCTAATCCTGGAAAGGTAGTTGGTTTCATTAATATCTGACTGGGAATGGCCGTTAAATGGTGGTCAGCTTGCATGATACGAACAGTAAACAGGGGTACCACAAGAGTTAAAATAATGGACGCAGTGGTTCAACTCCTCGAAAAAAAAAACTACAAGAGACAGCCCTATGGGGTTGTACGCAATGGTGACGTAGGACTACGTGGTCTTATATGATAAATCTTACTTGTTAACTGCAGCAGGAGCGTGTGTTTTGATAGATGGCCCACATCGACTCACGAAGAGCTACTGATTCCGATCAATAGCGGTGCGGCTTCTTCCTCCTTCCAGGGATGCTCATGTGGGCTGCAGCTCGCTGCATGCAGGCAGCCTTTCGTTGTGTACTAGAGAACAATGTTCAACGCCACGCGCCGAAAGCACTGGTGCTGCTGATGCCGACGACTGGACACCACCACACACGGTGATTGAAACTGAATCCAATCAGCGGTTGAGGCCAGCCTGGGTAGCTCGCTGCTTGCGGGGGAGCCTTTCGTTGGGTACTGGAGAACACCACCACTCACCACGTGGTGAGACCGGATGGCATTCAACTTTGAAATCTGTGTTAGGGAAATCGTTTTCGCAGGTAATTTGTGATAATTTTAATTATCAAAGCAACAGTTGCACATTCATGCAATTTTCAAAAGTGACATTTTGAAAAATGAGGAAGTCTGAAATTTAACAGATGCGTAGAAATATATCTGATCGATTGGTGATAAAATTATTGAAATTGGTCCAGGGGCAGCTGAGATATTAACGATCAAAATCTTTCATAATTTTGTTACATGTTCCATTTTTGGTTTTCACAAAGAAATCACAGACGTAGTCCTACGCAAAAAAACATAAACAAAATATCCGTATTTTAATTCAGGATTGACTCTTAACTAACTTGTTTTGCTGACGGGACTACGTTGTTTCCTTTCGAAAAAAGTAAGTAAAAGTGGCAAATCAATGAGCAAGTGGATGCCAAGTGTTTAAAAGGTGATTCAATGAACCAGACACTTGATTAGTGGATAATTAGCTGAGCAAGTCATTGCATTCCCCCCGAGCGATACTTTGTGTGGCAAACGTTACGATCTATGGCACCACTGTCTGCACCTTTGCAAAGAAAATCCCTTCGCCCGATCAGCGAGCAGCGCAAAGGATCAACGAGAAACGTGACTCGCTGAGAGGCATTCACACGCTCAGTCAGTCAGCAGCACAGCAATCCAGTTCCATTCACAGGTCTCGGCGTTCCACTCAGGGCACGGCCAGCTGAGATCCTGTGCAGCGTATTTTCCACTTGGCGCGCGAGGATGACTCGATTGCGCAATGCTCTTTCCACTCTCATTCGTCCATTCACTCACACGGCTCGAGTCCCCCCGGGGCAGTGGCGCTCTTTCTCTCACTCACCTGCGGCTTTCGCTCCCGACCAGTGTCGCAAAAATGGATTTTATGCTTCTGAGCGACGAGCGCGCATCTCAACATGTGTGGCGCGCGTGGTCTGGTGAGCCTCGGAGCATAGTTCCCTCTCAGCATAAACGGCTCCGCCCCTTGGCGATCTCAGCGTGCCATGCGCGCAACATGTACCCTACTCTCATTCACTCAATCAAGCGCAGACCCAGGCACTCCCGGCATGGCCGGGTTCGGAACAGAGCCAGCAGCATTGCCGCGGGTCGTTTGGAGAAACAGTTCACGTTTCAACGCTGTTCGGTCTGTATCGCGCGTGTCTATGCTCCGCGGCGTTATTTTCTGTGGTTCGCAAGATCCCAAGCAACATCCTGCTGCCAGTGTGCTACTGCAGTAGTAGCAGCAGCAGCAACAGCAACAGCAGAGTGACCCTATAGTTAAAGAACGATCCTCGCGCGGGTGACGTGTCTGTCTTTTGAGTGAGCGGGAGCGTGTGTGACAATAATCGTAATCATAATCATAGCAGGCTAATTTATTGGATATCTTCCGACTTGTTGTGTGTATTGTTGTTTTGTGCTCGGTCGCGGCATGCTGGATGGATGATACGCGCACGAGCGAGGGAGAGTGCAACGGCGACGTTTCTTATCTCGTGATTTCCGTTATTGTTGCGGCTCCCAGGCAATCAGCCCGCCAGATCCCGAGTCGGGTCGTCGTGTGTGCAAGCGAATTAAATTGTTACTCTTTTTCATCGGGCGAGCAGTGAGAAGATAGCAAGAAGGAAGAAAAGTGCCGTCGGCGATTCTGCTGCAGGTACAGCGCAGGTGATCGCATTTTGGATTGTCCTCCGCATGGAATCGCCGAAAGAAGAGTGCGCCCGTAATGACTAGTGATAAGTGATTGTCTGCCTGCCAAGTGTCTCCCGTAATTACAGTGATTTTGTGAGTTGATTGGAAAAATCAATTGAGCGAAAAAAGTGAGGTTCGGGGTAAAAGCAAAAGTTCCCATAAAAGTGTAACCGCCACCGGGAAGAGGCGAGCAGCCGAAAATGATAATAAATTCTGTGAAACCGCTCATTAGTGGGGAAGTGACGACAGTCTCCTGACAAGTGGCGTACGATCGCGCAAGTGATTTGAAGCTTTCGGAGGCGGAATCAACAAGTGCGCGGCGCAGAATTTTTGAATTGAAAAATCTGGAAATGTTTCACGTTCCCACCACCACCACCACCGCCATCATCACCATTGTGCTTGTCGTAGCCGTATCATCGTCATCGTCATCATCACCATCATCATCATCATCATCGTCGCCAATCGTTGTAATTTAGTGCGAAGAAAAGAAACCCCATGAATCGGAACCAGTGCAGCAAGAAGAGGCGGAAGAATTTTTCAGAAGAATGCGGCACAGTAGTATAATCAGAAGCAGAAGAAAAACGGGTGTTTAATAAGAGAACAAGTGATGAATATAATTTGGTCCGGAACGGCGAACTCGATTGGCACTTTGGTAGGTCTCGGAAGCAAAGGAAGAAGAAGAACAAGTGGAAAAAGTGGTAGCGGAACTCATTACCACGACGACGACAACAACAGCAGTCGCCTGCTGCAACGACTGGATTTAGATCAGGCGGAAGTAGTGTAGGAGGCGAGCAGGAGGCAACTGCTTACTCTATACTTACTTATTGTCATTAAGGAGAAGAAGTCGGGGAAAGAGTGTGCACGTGTGTGCGTGTGTGTGTGCGTGAGTGTGTACACTTGGCTGAGGATGATAAAGATGGCCATCGGTAGCCGCCGCCTGCACACGTGGACCAGCGTCTTCGTCGTACTAACGTCTGTGATCTCAATGGTGAGTTTTACAAGGGGTCACTTTTTAAAACGAGGATCAAGTTTAGGAAATTTCCAGCTTTGCATATTTAATGAGGGAATTATCGCGAATTTCCGTCCAGCGGCTACCGTAGAGTTCAAAGTTCTACCGGCAGTATTTAAATGAGTTGAATACTGAAAAAAAACTTAGTGTACATTGACGAAGTATTGAAGTATTTTTCAGGGGGCGGGACACCTTTGCTGAATTATTATTTTTATATTGTCGTTTCATTGACTGAGACGCAAAAACAAAAGTATCCGTAGAACAAACATTATTCTGCACAAAAAGCATTCTCTTTTGAATGTATTAGTTTTTGAGACACCGATTTCATAAATATGCAATTTGCAATGGGTAAAATGGGTATATGTTCAAGTATTTTTGTTTTGGAGTGTGTACGCATATCAGCTTGTATTGATAGTAGGATTTGAAATTTCATTCGTTTGCGATTTCAAGCAGCCATGGGCGTGAAAATGGAGCATGTCATAAATCTGTATAAAATCGTGTGTTATCTCTTAGAAGCTGAAATCTCTTCAAAAGAATGAAAAATCCGTTCAATATCAGAGCTTAGCCGCATCGGCAGGACTCAAAAAGTGCTGGAGCTGTGATTAATTTTCGTGACAAATGTCAGTTAAAAGGGAGAGAGATTTGATTTAAAGTATGCTAAGTTGAAGGATATAAATAGTATTTTATCTGGAATTTACTGATATCAAAAATTCATACAAGCGTTCAATCGTTATGACCATTTCTAAAAGTGACAGTTATCCCAATCACCCTGTACGGTTGATATACAAGTAGTATAAAAGTCCCCAAGTAACATTGCAAGTTTTATTGAGGTTTTACAGCATTCTACAAGTCTAAATAGTGGTCTACAGAGCCCTTATAAATCAAAATTGTTATATGGGGTGGTAGTCCAATATTAACCTTATAAAGAAAATATATTAAAGGTTATTTGGTAATCTAACTAAAATACTCGAAAGCCTTTCGCTCTCTCTTGGAGTTGACTCCTTCTTTAAAACATGAGCAGTTCTTTGACAGATGAAAGCCGATGATAATGTAACATTTCTATTTCAGATCTATTTCAATCCTTCTTCATAATATAAGCATTTTTACCCATACAAATACATAGTAGCACAATATAAAATGTATTTATTTTGCACTTCACAACACTGCAAGCTTTCGGTAAATACGAAATCTCTGTCGTATCTGTCGTATTGCATATTTTGTGAAAGCACTGGATGCGAATCCCGTTCAGATGGAAGCAACGTAGCGGATTTCGGAGAAGAAGGTATTTTTTTACTTCTAGCATAGCCACTGAACTCAAAATCCTGCATGATAAATACTAGAATTGGATTAAAAATTCCTAGAAAAACTCAAAATAAAATGAAAAAGTACGTCTTACCCCGGGGGTGCGTTATGTACTGTTCTCCCCTACACTTCGCAACGCTGCAAGTTTTCGATAAACACGATCGTTATCGTTTTTGAATCGATGAATGTTCAGTAATCAATCAATTGAATCAATCGAATCAAATTTGAAATCTTTGACCTTTTGTCCATCCTAACTTTAGGCTTTATAACCTTAATCAGTGCTTAATGGTAAATTTTGTGCTGGTTATTTACTAATTTTTAATTTGTGCGCCTCCGCTTAACTCAAATCTATGCGCTCCTTTTAGGGGTTGTAATTTACCTTTAATTAAAACTAGGGTACGGGTAAAACTTGTCTGCAATCAGCTCGTCATAAAACTTAAAAGGGTATTGGCTTTCAGTGAACGGTGGATCAAAACGCAACGACGTTTTGTGTAAGACGTTTCAGGGAATCTAATATTGGGCCATCACAAAATGCATTACGATCTAAAACTAAATCCAGCCCTGACGAAGATCCCAACCCAAGGATCGAAACGTTGGTGATGATAAAACTGTAATCAGCACTTTATCTTTAAAATTGAAAATCCCTATCAAAATTATTAACTCTCCAAAGCCTTTAAACTTCCTCGAAAATCTGTACTTTTCTGAGGTTTGCGATGCTTTACTGAAGTGGTTGGAAATGCCCTTAAGATCTCTGAACTCCAATAAAGTTCTCTAAACTTACCTGAATTTTTCAGAAATTTTTAAAAGTTCCCACGAATTTCATGAAGCAAGTTGAACTGCCCTAAAGTTATTTGATTTAAAGATAGATTTCCTACAAATTTTCTGAAGTTTTCTAAACCATGACAGGTCATGGAACTTCCCTTAAAATCTCTTAACGTCCCTGAACTTCTATGGACATGCCTGAAGTTTTTGTTCCTTTATGATAGAGTTCTTTAATTTTTCAAGAAGTTCTCGAAACTTCTTTAACGTTCGAAAAATTTCCCTGATATTTATGGAAGTTTCCTTAAGAGCTGATCTCACAATGTTCCTTTATCATTTGATTTATTTCTTCATTAAAGCTCCTGAAATCGATCAATGGACCAGCTCCAAGGTCCAAGACCAGAGTAATAATAATGAAACCACTAAAAAATTTCAGAACTTGCCTGTTATTCTTTGCATTTCCCCGAAGATCTCGAAACTGAAGAGACGAACCAGCCTAAGGCTGGGAGTCAGTGTTGGAAAAGTTCACCAAAACTCATTATGACTCGCGAACTTTTCCCTTGGTGAACTTCGTGAAATATCGCGATCTTTTCCAACGCTGCTGAGAGTCTAACCGATAAAGAAACTAACGAAAGTAAATTGAACACCTTGCGGTTATCTGATATTTCCTGATTAAAAAAAAATATCCTGCGGCTCTCCCAATTCTTCTGAGGGTTTTGATACTGTCCTGAAATTAAAGAAACTGTCCTAAACAAAATTATCTTCCCTTTGGGCTGCTGTATAGTTTCCAAAACATTTTTGAAGTTTTCTTAACTTCTAAAGAGTTCTGAACTTCTTAAAGTTCCTCGAAATTTTTCTGAAATTTATTGAGATGACTTGAATTTATCGAAACTAACCTTTACACTTCTATAAACGATTTCAAAAGTCTGGAATTTCCTGAAGCTATTGGGACTGCCCTTTGCGATCTCCGAGCTTTTTTGAAGCTTCTCTGAGCTTCTTGGAATTTCTTAAAAGTATCCCCACTTTTCCTCAAGTTCTTTACCTCAAGTTCTCTGGATATCCCTGAAGTTTTTAGACCTTTTAAAAGTTTCGCTAACGCTCATTGAACCACTTATAAGTTTTGGAAACTTCTCTGATGTGCCTGAATTTCTTAAGAAGTTATCAGAACTTCCCTAATGATACAGCAGCTTGTTCATGAAACTTCCCAGAACATCTTTAAAGTACCTACAAAATTCGTTTTCTGCACTTCCCTGATTCTTGAAGCTTCTGTGACATTTTCGAATTTTTGATTAAGTTCTCTAACTTTACCCGATGCTCTCTGGACCATTTGTAATATTTTAAGCTTCTAGAAGGTTCTTGCTGTTTTCCTGAATTCATTAGAATTACCTGAAAATGCCTTAAATTTACCTGAACTACTTCCCTTAAGTTCCCGCAACTTCCCTAATTTTCCTGGAACTTTCCCTACGATCACGTATCAATCATTTAAACTCAACTGAAGTTTTGGCAAATACTGTAAAGTTCTTGCAATATCCCTAAATTGCGTGGAACAGCCACGAAGCTCTTTGATCTTCACTAATGATCTCGATTTGTTTCTGAAATCTATGGAACCTAACCCGAAGGATCTTAAAACTTCCCTTGAATTTTTGACGTTTTTGTATCTCTAGGAGCAACTCTGAAGTTTTCGAATCTTCCTTGAAATTCTTGGAATTTTGGAGAAGTTCTCAGAACTTCTTGATGTTATTTTTTTTGATGTTTTCAAAATTTTCCTGAAGTTCTCAGAAGTTTTGGAGTTTCGAAGCTTTTAAGACTTCGTTCTTGGAATATCTGTAAAGTTCCTGTAATTCTTTAAAGTTAATCAAACGGCCCCGAAGTTATCAAATTTTTTCTAGACATTTTCGGAACTTCTCTAAAGATTTCCCAATATTTTGGATGTTCATGGAACTGTTCTGAAGTTGTCAGAACTTTCGCGAAGCTTTCTTACCTTTCCTAGGTATTCCTAAGTACATGAAGTTTCCTGGTGTCTCTCAATGTTCTAGTAAAGTTTCAAAATTGGTTTTGAGGTTTTAATGGACTTGTCATGAAGCTCTCTGATCTGCATCAAATTACACGAAACTTTATTAATGTCATGAAACTGCACTAAAACTCTCGGACATTACCCTTAAAGTCATTTAAACTTATCCAAAGTTCTGGACTTTCCTGTCAGCTTTTGGCCTTTCTATCTTTCGTCTTTCGACCTTTTGCCTTTCGACTTTTTGTCTTTGTAACTTTTGTCTTTCAATCTTTTGTCTTTCGACCTTTTATCTTTCGACCGTTTGTCTTTCAACCTTTTGTCTTTCGACCTTTTGTCTGTCGACCTTTTGTTTTTCGACCATTTGTCTTTCGACCTTTCGTCTTTCGATCTTTTGTCTGTCGACCTTTTGTCTTTCAACATTTTGTCTTTCAACCTTGTGACTTTCGACCTTTTGTGCTTTCGACATTTTGTCCCTTTCGACTTTTTGTCTTCCGACCTTTCGTCTTTCGATCTTTTGTCTTTCGACAAATTGTATTTCGACCATTTGTATTTCGACCTTTTGTCTTTAGACCTTTTGTCTTTCGACCTTTTGTCTTTAGACCTTTTGTCTTTAGACCTTTTGTCTTTAGACCTTTTGTCTTTAGACCTTTTGTCTTTAGACCTTTTGTCTTTAGACCTTTTGTCTTTCGAACTTTTATCTTTTGACCTTACGTCTCTCGACCTTTTGTCTTTCGACCTTTTGTCTTAAGACCTATTGTCTTTCGGCCTCGTGTCTCTCGACTTTTTGTCTTTCAACCTTTCATATTTCGACCTTTTGTCTTTCGACCTTTCATCTTTCAACCTTTCGTCTTTCGATCTTTTGTCTTTCAACCTATTGACTTTCAACATTTTGCTTTCAACCTTTTGT